TATCAGGGGCATAGGTTACATAGGTTAATATATTATATTGTTGCTGTATTGTCTTCTTTTATATTGTAAAGCGCTGAAAACCCTACTCTTTAGAGCCTGTCCTGCCTCCACCTAACCACTGTACTTTTATTTTCCCCATCGACTCAATCCCTAGAGTTATTACCTTGTGTATCATCTGACCCTCCATTTTAGCTTGTAAGCTGTAAGGAGCAGGCCTCTCTGATTCCTCCTGTATTCAATTGTATTGTAACTATACTGTCTGCCCTCGCTGTAAAGCGTTGGTGCTATGTAAATCCTGTATAATAATAGAAATCAAACTGATAGATGAAGCTGAAAACAAAGTTCTGCAATATACCAACTGAGCACTAGGTGTCACTTTTAGTTTATATTTAGCTGTAGTTATGGCATAGTACATCATTATCCACCACACCTATTGTGAGTCTAATGATATATTACTAAAACAGCACAATATGAAATATTTATATTGTAGAAACAGAGCTGTTCAGAATTGTATACAGTATCCAGGGAGCAAATTGCTGCCAGTTAGATGGATTTATGCAAGGAAATCTCTAGGTAGAAGTTCGACTGTACAGACCTGTATGACATGACTAGTGAGAAGAATTATAATATGTCAGTATTATATATCATAGGACATTTTAAAGCCTTACTATATAAAGTATATATATATTAATTGAAAATATAATTTTTTTTAATTTAGTGCACTTAACAATGGAATAGCTCAATACTAAATGACCTTGTCAAGGTCGAGCAAGTTTCAGAACATAATTGGAAAAATAGGAATTGGAATTGTTAAAAATCTGTACAAATCAAGTAAAGCAAGCCACAAACACTGCAGAATAAAACCAAATGCCTTGTGAACAGGACATGTGTACAAATAAGGTCATGTCGATGAATAAATGCTAGTCTAGGAAAGTTTAGGAAAGAATGTTCCTAAGCCTTCTTACATCTGCTTTAAAATTTTATCCCTGGATACTTGTTATTTGTGCCAATTTTTGAATGTTTGTGCCCAGTGTTTTTGCTATATCAGTGGAGTTATTGAATTCATGCATTTGAACAGGGTCATAACCGCAAAATCCCATGGCCCTTATATCACGTCTTTTGAATAGCAATAGACTGATATTCAGTATTCATGCACTAAATACTGCAGCCAGTTGGATTTTGGGGACTGCAAACATTGATCAACCTGTTCCTCTTTAGATGTGGTTTATGCTGAGCTCCAGGCAGATAACGGATAGTTGTCTTCCTCCTTTTTAAAATATTAGTTGCCTGATTGTCTCTATCTCTGGTGCGCACAAAAGACCTGGTCTACATAATTTTTGGGGACCAGTGAGTCAGAAACTGTGAATGCCCTTTCATTAGAATGACAGCCTTGAAATTTCATAAGCAAAAGTAATCAGTAGAAGTTATTATTATTATTATAATACAGGATTTATATAGCGTCAACAGTTTACTCAGCGCTTTACACTATAACGGGAGATGATACAGCAGCAATACAGTTTAATACAAGAGGCTTTGAGCTTACAATCTAAGAGGGAGGGGCTAGTGGTACAAAAAGGTAGTAACTGTGGGGGATGGACTGGTAGGATAGAATAGAAGATTCCATTATAAGCTGTGGGCAGGATAGGCTTCCCTGAAGAGATAGGTTTTCAGAGATCACCTAAAAGTGAGTAGAGTAGGTGATAGTCTGATAAATTGGGGTAGAGAGTTCCAGAGGATGGGGGAAGCTCTGGAGATGAGCATGGTAGGAGGAGACAAGGGAGCTAGAGAGCAGGAGTTTGTGCGAGGAGCGGAGAGTACGGTTTGGGTTATATTTGGAGATCAGATTGGTGATGTAATTTGGGGTAGAGTTATAAATGGCTTTATATGTTATTGTTAATGTTTTGAATTTTATCCGTTGGGCAATGGGAAGCCAGTGGAGGGATTGGCAGAGAGGGGTGGCAGATATGGAAGGGTTAGTAAGATGGATGAGTCTGGCAGCAGCATTCATGATAGACTGAAGAGGGGATAGCCTGCGATGAGGTAGGCCAATGAGGAGGGAGTTACAATAGTCAAGGCTAGAGATAACCAGGGAGTGAATAAGTTGCTTAGTAGTTTCAGAGGTGAAAAACGGGCGTATCTTGGAGATGTTGCATAGGTAAAGTCTACAAGATTTGGACAGCGATTGGATTTGGGGCTGAAAGGACAGGTGGGAGTCTAGGATTACACCTAGCACCCTGGCATGAGGGGAAGGACTGATGGTCGTATTATTGATCTTGATGGTGATACACTGAAGAAGGGATAGCCTGTGATGAAGTAGGCCAATGAGGAGGGAGTTACAATAGTCAAGGCGAGATATAACCAGGGAGTGAATAAGTTGCTTAGTGATTTCAGAGGTTAAGAACGGGCGTATCTTGGAGATGTTGTGGAGGTGAAGTCTACAAGATTTGGACAGTGATTGGATTTGGGGCTGAAAGGACAGATGAGAGTCTAGGATTACATCTAGTACCCTGGCATGAGGGGAGGGACTGATGATTGTGTTATTGATCTTGATGGTGAAGTCAGGGGAGGGGGCACGGGCTGGGGGGAATACTAAGAGCTCAGTTGTGGAAAGATTGAGTTTGAGAAAGTGGAGTGACATCCATGCCAATATGTCACTTAGTAGGTTAGTAATGCGAGAGGAGACTGAAGGGGTGAGGTGAGGGGTAGAAAGATAGATTTGTATTTCATAAGCATAGAGATGGTACTTAAAGCCATGGGAGTTTATCAAGTGACCAAGGGAGGAGGTGTAGATGGAGAAGAGAAGGAGTCTAAGGACAGAACCTTGAGGGACCCCTACAGAAAGAAGGAGTGGAGAGGAGGAGACAGAGTTATAGGTAACGCTGAAGGAGTGCTGCGATAGGTAGGAGGAGAACCAGGAGAGAGCACAGTCTCGGAGGACAAGAGAGTGGAGTTTTTTGAGGAGGAGGGGATGGTCAACAATATCAAAAGCCGCAGAGAGGCCAAGTAGTAAGAGTACGGAGCAGTGGCCATTGGTTTTAGCAGTTAGTAGATCATTAGTGAGTTTTAGTAGAGCAGTTTCAGTGGAGTGTAGTGAGCGAAAGCCAGACTGTAAAGGGTGAAGAAGGTTGTTGTCAGTAAGGTAGGAGCTCAGGCGATTGTAGAGTAAGTGTTCTAGGAGTTTAGAGGTAAATGGCAGCAGGGAGATGGGTCTTAAGTTGTTCAGGTTGGTGGGGTCCAGGGAGGGCTTTTTAAGTATGGGAGTGATGTGTGCATGCTTTAGAGGGGAGGGGAAGGCACCGTTAGAGAGGGAGAGATTGAAGATGTGAGTGAGGGAGCATAAAATAGAAGAAGTACGTGACCGTAGTAGTTGTGAGGGGACAGGATCCAGGGGGCAGGTAGTGAGACGGGCTTCAGAGAAAAGTCTATATATTCACTCACAGTGGATTCCTTTCAATTAAAACACAAAAGAACATACGGTCACAATTTAAAACATTTACAGGGGGTTAAAAAAATGGAAACACTACATGATTTGCATGTAGTATATACAGTATACACATTATACTGTATATTATTGTATATACAGTATGACCGTTTCAGGTATGGAGCAATTCTGTGACTTTTTTCATTACCTATTACTTTTTAATATAACTAATACACATTTATTATGTGTCTAAAACATTAATACATATAATATAAATGTGTAGGTTTTGGCGATAGAGCGTATATAAAGCCAGCACTTCTTACATTTGGATGAGTTTGAACAATGGGTTATTAGAATATCTGTTAGATTTTATTGCTATTTATATCCCTAAGTGAGGAGAATCACCATCTCTATTGTTCCCGGCCAACATTGTGGCCAAGACAAAAAGTAAGTGGAATCTGAAATGTTTGAGTTGTCATAGGAGCAGGAGGTGATGAAGGAATCTTCCGATGGGGATATTGAATTGCTTTGGAAAAACCTCCTATTTCTTCTTGCTGTGTATCTGAGAAAGCAAGATAATTAGGGGGGATTTACTAAAGGCAAATAGACTGTGAACTTTACAAGTGCAGTTGCTCTGCAGCTTAGTAAATGAGATGAAACTCCACTTTTCATAAAATAGCCAATCACATGCAAGGAAAATTAAAAAAAATAAACAGCATTTTGCTTACACATGATTGGATGATGGAAGTCAGCACAGCTTCCCCTCATCGCTGCTTGACAAAGGAGCGCACTTCCACCTTTCCCGGCCAGCGCATGCTCCGAAATGCGTCAAAGTGCACCTTGGGTATCTGACGTCATCACGGGCACGCCGCCGCCGCTTTCCAGCGTGCGTTCCACTTTGCTCTGCTGGAGGACGTGCACGCCGGCCGGCCTCACAGCCGTTCCCCTCCAGCCACCACACTGCTCCAGCGGCACGCCGATTTCTTCATACCCCACACAGATGACAGATCTCACCCTGGATACCCACCTTACTGATGGTTACACCAACCATGGTTTTTTTATGCTTATACTTACCTTATATATGTGAGTGTTCCTACCTATATACCTGAATAAAGTTATATACTGCACTTAGAGGTGCTTCTCTCCTTCTCTCACTAACAAAGTCTGCTACAGCCTATTTGGAAGCCTTGCCCTCAGTGCTACACGGATCCCCCTACCCCACGCTCATCTTTCTCATACAACCATAACTACCACCATTACCCCATACCAGGATTACCCAGGACTTCTGGCAGTACTTGCGCTGATCACACCCCCCCCCCCCCCTCATTTCCCCTCATTTACTAAGCTCTGGAACAACTGCACTTGCAGAGAGCACAGTCTGTTTACCTTTTGTAAATCCACATTTTCCCCAATGGGGCTCAAACAGCAGAAAAAAATACTGGTTGTGTTTTACATACATTTTATAGTATATGTTTCATTTATTGTCACTAGAGCCATAATTTGAGTATATGATTAATACAGTGTGCTGTTTAGTTATCAATTACTGTAATTATATTGTCTATATTTTATCTCCTTTCAGAAAGCGCTGGCCCTGGATCAGGACTGCATGGTGCTATCTGACCAGGAGGTGAGGATGGAGAACAGGATCAGTTTTGAGTGAGTTGGGTTTCCTTTCTTGTTCTTTCTGAAAATGTTAGCAGTGAACCCCTCATATTTCAACATCCTTACCATAGTCTTACCAAAAGACATGAGGCAGTCTGGGAAGGCCTTCATTACTCTGCTAGCATGTTTTGGCCCTTGGAAAAGTCATTGTAAAGACACTGAAAGCTAAAGGTAGAATCTGCAAAGATGCAATGCTAACCACAGTGTTACCATGTTGCTCTGTAATATCCTATAATATTCAACAACAACAAACAACCTGAAACATATTGTGTTTTGTAATTTAAAAAATAACTTTAATTCTTGGTATTTTTTAGGTTGCAAATTGAATCCCTGAATAAAAATTTGCGCATCGTGGCCAGACCCTCAAAGACAATACAAGAGGCTTTACATTCGATTTTGAAGAAATATGGATTGAACAACCAACATTTTGTACTAAAAAAGGTAAAACTGAAACCCCTAATGGAGCTTACATAATAAAAAAAAGCCTTACATATCAAGTTCAGGGCTAGCAATGAAATGCCCTAATGCTACAAACTATTTTCAAAATTTTCTAAATCCAACCATTAATTCTTTAGGGCACATGTAAACCTGGTGAACACAGAATGCTAACAATATGATCGTTAAAACCCATCAGCAGGCTGTCCCTTCCAAATTCACTCTCCTCCTTTGTGGCCCCATTGGCAGTATTTTATACTTCTGGTGTTGTATTAATATTATTAATATTCACCTTTTCTGAAGCCTTCAAGTTGGTCATGTAATGCCACAGGGTCCTCTTCATTCTTACCTCCTCTTAAGACTGGGAGGTAATCAATGATGTAGAGAGTGATGCCAATGTGATGACACTATAAATGAAGGTGTGGTGATGCCCTGCCTGCCTGCACTTGATCTTCCAGGTTGAGTGACTTGGAGTGTCAATCATCCTGACAAGAATGAGAATGAGATACTTTAAGGCATAGCTCCATATTGAAGGTGAGTATTGAAGCCTGATCTTTTTTTTTTCAACACAGTCTGGCGAACCTTTTCAAAAAATAGAAAAATTGCTTGGATTTGGGTTTTAAGGTACAGTGTGCAAAGAGAAATGGATTGCTGTAATCCATGGCATAAAATCAGGATTTGGGTACTGGGTCACTCTGGACAATCACATGCTATTTCCTAGTCCCTTGTTACCATAGTTAAAATTCATGCTACTTCCATCAATAGTTTAAGGGGGAGTACAAAGTGTAAATTTTGCTTTCTGTTCTAATGTGTCTCCAGCCAGCCAACAATTCCTCATAGACAATAATTCCTCATAGACTATTATTAGCCTGACGCAAAAGAGATGAAAAAACAGACAATGGAAAACAGTTGCTGACAGTTGTAGGCAGATCATTTGAGAAATAAAGGGTGTGTGCAGGGGCGTATTTGCCACAAGGCAAACAAGACACTTGCCTAGGATGGCATTTTTCAGGGGGGCAGCACCTCCCCCCAGAAGAAGGGAACCAGGTGGGATCTGAGAGAGGCTACGGGCTGCTTGATGGTGTATATACATCCTGACTCTTGTTCCCAGGGATGTCAGGAGCTGTGAAGATTGGTGTATTTCTCTCTATCGCCAGAGGGGGGGTAGTAGAAGGCTCTCCCAGATGGGGGGGGCATAGGTGTTATTGGTCATTGTCAGGCTCTGTGTCCGTGAGGGCAGACAATTTTTTGTGTTGCCTAGGGCAGCACAAAACCTAAATACACCACTGGGTGTATGCACTAAATTCCCTCACTCCCCTCTTGCAGAATTTGCATTGGGTTGCCCTTTAAGAAAAACACAGCATGAGGATGCTTAGTCATATTAGACATAACATGAATGTACATTCCATTTCTAGATTAGTACGTTGTTGGGCAGTGAACAGGGAACTTAATGTCTATCATCACAGTGTTTATTATAATTTCCCTTTTCACTGCCAGCCACTTAGGAAGATCTGTTATGGCACGAACATATTATGCAATAGGAAATGTAACCAACCACACGTCATCCATTAATCGGTGCTTTCATCTGAAATGAGCGTGGGTTTCATTATCTTGTCAGATCAGTTTTGTTCTGCAGAAGGTCATTTGGCATCTTATCTTAGACAACTCTGCACTGAAGTTCCTATAAAATGAATCCTTATTCTCAGTTAATTCCTTATGACTGAGCTCACCTCATCAAAATAGCAATCACATCGTGCAACGGTGCATGTTGTCAATGTCAAACAGTTTTAATGAAGATATTTACATAAATATATCAGTCATCAAAGACAAAATGGATTGAGTGAGTAGATATCACAGACAGAGTGGTACAGTTTGTTGTCTAGAGGTTCACTGATCAACTATACAGTAAATCTACTTTTACTTTTCGCAGACATTAACATGTTAAAGTGTTTCTAAACCTACAACAGTAAAATCAGACTGTATTTACAGTAAAGCATGCTTGTTATACTCACTGTGGAACCTAAGGGGGTTAATCCTCTGCATTGTGTAAAAAAGGATTTTTGATCCTGTCTTCTCTGATCCTCCCTTTCTTCTACAGTCCCCAATCCATCTGCTGACAGAACAGAGCCTTGGGGGCAAGCTGAACATGCTTAGTTTGGTGTGTATTGCTAGAGAATTTTTTTCTTTTAAATCTTGGGAGAGTGCATAATCAGCACAGGGCCAATCCAATCAATGCTGCCCAGACAGAGGGCCCAGACAGAGGGTCAGGGGTCCTGCAGTCTCGTAGGACAATCAGGAGAGAATTAAAACTCCTCCTACAAGCTTTAACCAGTGCTCTGCAGGACACTAACAGAAGTCACAAGACTGCTATATACTGCTGATGAGAAAAGGTATTTAGCAGTTCATATTTAGTAAAAAAAAAATTGCATTTCCATGTTGTGTGTACTGTGGGAGACCAGATATAGTGAATGCAGGGTCCTGGGTTTAGTAACACTTGACGTATAGTGGCATATATGATATCTGCCATTTCAGGCTGGGGAGAGGCTGATCAATTTTTATCAGATACAGTTACATGATACAGAGGAAATGTTTCAGCTTTGTAGCTCTCTGTTGTTCATAGGTTGTTCATATATGTTTATATAATCTATATCTGAGGCTTATTGTCTCTTTATTGAAGTTATCAGTGTGATCTTGCAAGCCTTGTAATAACAGTAGTTCTTATACCCAGTTACAGCACCCTTTTCTCCACAGAAGAACAAGAAAGCATTGAAGCAGTATTAAACCCAAAAGCCAACATTTGTTATATTGCAGCTCACCAATTTTTCGATGTGATTGTTTGCATTAGTTTTCCTTTTTGGGATTTCTATTTTCATCTGATGATCCAGCCAGTAAGTCTGTGGTTTTTCAAAAGCACAAGCTCTCCAGCAGGATGCATCAGTTTACATGGATGAGACTATCCACTTAACAATGACAGGGGTGCAAGCTTTTATTTATGTACAGTAAAACCTTTTTCTATAACATGTAACTTCCCTTTACCTTAACAGTTAATAAATAGGCCCTAAAAGGCACACATTAATGAAGCTCTCTATTCATTAATGTATCAATAAATTTACTTTTTAAACACAAGCAGTGTATAAAGCCAAGTCTGACTTGTTATCAGCCTCCTGTAGTCTCTGTACAACAGAGCTCAGAGAGGGGGAAGCAGCACTAAGAGCCAATCAAGTCTGCTCATGTTGTAACAATGATAGCAGGAGAAGGCAGAGTCCATCTGCTTCTCTTCATCGACCAGTCCCAGGGTGGGGGAGGTACAAGTCCTGTAATGCCTAGTTAGTACATATGGTGAGAAAATTGGATAAAAAATACTGCTTGACTGTCCGATAATATGATCGTTAGTACACAGCTTCCGTGAGCCAATCACAACAGTTCATACAAAATTATCCATAGGGACAAACACAAAAATTTTTCTCTCACGCAATAACAGAACATTGAGTGACCAAGACCACGCATGCACGGAAATGAAAGAATACAATACAATAGAATACATTACATCACTTCCGAAGTTGTATGCTGTTGAATGAGAATTTTCATAACTTTAGTAATCTTTTACATTTTCAATATGAGACTGACATGCAAAAAAAAAAAAATGGACAAGCATTCATCCATTATTCTCATCCTGAGTATGAGGCATAATTGAAAATGAAACTGCAAGAAAGTAAATATCAGGTCTTCTCCCTTGCCAGACAGACACACAGTTACCCTGACCTTAAGTCCTCATGAACACTGAATGTTTTGATAACGCTAGGTAATGTTAGCTGTGTAAAGTCGCGTTAAAAACATGAGTTTTTCAGCTTTTTCTAGCGGTTTTGCATTAGCGTTTAGCCGTGTTTTCCCACGTTTTTTTTTTCCAATTTTTTGGGTTAAAAAAAAGTCCAAAAACACCAGTTTGAGGCATTTTGACACGTTTTTCAGTGTTAGAGCATTTTTACAGTTAAAAAACTCTTATAGAAACCCACTAGACTTGTTTTTTTTTCTTCCAGCCAAAAAACATCTGAGCCAAAAAACGTTGATTACAGTCTATGTGTGCATGGACATATAGGATAACATGCTGAGGGGTATACTAGCTGGAGAAAAAAAACATCAAAAGCCAAAAACAGCAGCTGTAAAAACGTCAAGTTTGCATGAGGACTTTCACTTCAGCCCACCTTACCTAATTACTTTATGTGTAAATCCACCTTGGCTGAAAAAAAAAAAATCCTCTCCCTATAAGGTTTTTTTTAATGCTGCAAGGATTTAAAGTGGAAGTAAACTCCCACTGGACACTTGTACCTAGAGGTGAGCTTATAATAAAACTTACCTTTAGGTACAAGGAATATCTTCTAAACCTGCACCGTTTAGGGGATATTCAGTGTCCAGATGACCTCAAATGAGCATGCGCTCTGAACGGCATACCCGTGACATTCTTTCAGAGCTGTGTGCTGCAGCCAAAATTCCCGCGAGCATGCATGTGTTTGATGTCATTACGGCTCGGCCAGTCAAGCCATTGGCCAATTACCTTCATTTTAAGGTAAGTCTTTCATGATGTGCTAGTATGCAATTTATACTAGCACATTATGACACTATTTTACAGGGGAATTTTTTTTTTTTTTGTGGTTTACTACCTCTTCAAGCAAGTTTCATTGCACATTCCAATCAGGTTTTGTTTATATTGGAGTTCATTTACACCCCTCTTTCTTTCTATTTCCTGCAGTGACCTGCAATAGTCACATGAGGGGTCTAGTATGGTCGCCATTTCTGATTTTATGTCAGTTTTAGAGTATCATAGCTGGTTGCAGAACTAGAAAGGCAATTGTTGTTAACACAAAATTGCAAAAAGGCTCTTATATATATATTGAGTCAACATTGTGTTTATTAAAGGCAGTGTTACTTTTAAAACCCCTATCATTTAATCTTATTGCTTTAAAGTGATCCTTTTCAGTACCTAAACGTGCAATCTTTTCCATTAGCTG